GCGCGAAAGAGCGTCAGCAACGACGTTATTCTGACCTGAAATGTGTCGGAGGTCAGTAGAAAATTGAGCCACGAAATCCAGCTGACGAACCTCACGTGTTGAGTGTCGAGCTGATTGATTTCGAAAGGCGTAAATAAGCGGCTTATGATCGGTGAAGATAACGAACGAATTACCTTCTAAGACGTGCCTGAAATATCGGACGGTAGAATAAACTGCCAACAGTTCGCCGCTGGACGTGCTGTACTTGACTTCTGCCGGTTGTAAGCGTCGGGAGTAGAAAGCGAGTGGTTTCCAGCATCCCTCAGTGGATTGCTGCAGGACGGCGCCAATGGCGGTGTCCGATGCATCGACTGCAACGCTGAGTGGAGCTTTGGGGTCGAAATGGTGAAGCATAACGGTTTCAGCCAAGGCCTCTGCACTTTGAAGGCTTCGGTTGCAGCGGTCGTCAACTCGACGTTGCCGTTCTTGCGTCCACGAAGTAGGTCGGTCAATGGACTGAGCAAGTCGGCACAACGTGGCAGAAATCGACGGTAGTAGTTGATCATCCCACTAAAGCGGCGGATGGCGGCCAAAGAAGTCGGAAGGGGAAGTCCTTAATAGCGCTGACCCGGTCTTCGAGCGGCCGTATGCCATGCTGGTCAATTCTATGACCAAGAAATTCGATAGATGGTTGCTGAAAGATGCACTTGTCAGCGTTGACAGTAATGCTATTAGAGGCTAATCTCTCGAAAAGCATCTTGAGGTGCTCCGCGTGCTGCTCATCGGAAGAACTAGCTACTAAGATGTCGTCTATATAAGGATAAACGAAGTCGTGACTTCTCGTGACAGAGTCCATGAAGCGTTGAAAAGTTTGAGCTGCGTTTCGAAGACCGAAGGGCATGCGCAAGAATTCGAAAAGTCCGAAAGGCGTGATGACTGCGGTTTTCGGAATGTCATCCTCGGCTACAGGGATCTGGTGGTAAGCGCGAACCAGCTCGATCTTCGAGAACACACGGGCGCCACGTAGGCTAGCCGTGATGCCCTGAATGTGCGGAATTGGATAGCGGTCGGAGACAGTAGCGTTATTGAGAGCGCAATAGTCGCCACATGGACGCCAGTCTCCTGACATTTTAGGCACCATGTGTAGAGGCGATGCCCACGGGCTCTTAGACGGGCGAATAATGCCTAAGTCTGGCATGTGCTCGAATTCGGAGCGTGCAATTTTGAGCTTGTCGGGGGTCATGCGCCTGGCTTTTGTGAACACAGGCGGACCTTTCGTAACGATGTGATGTGTCGCGGCGTCGGTTGCGGAAGACAACGGGACGGCAGGACGGAAGGCCTGCGGAAAACAATCGAGCAGAGTTTGCCCGACGGGTGAACTAAGTTGAGTCGCGAACACGGGACTGATTGACGCGGTGTCGGTCAAAGTCCCAATGACTGCGAGATTCGTAAGGCGGTCGACTAGATGGTGTCGCTTAACGTCCACGAGTAGGTCGTAATGACGTAAGAAGTCGAGACCAAGGATAGGCGTTTGAACATCCGCAACGGGGAATATCCATTTGGAAGCGCGTCGGAGGCTGAGATTTAGCGTGCGCGAGCGTTAACCATATACCCGGATAATGGTCCCGTTAGCTGCGCGCAATGAGCTAGTCACCTTATCAGTCTGGTCGTTTGGATCTCGCGGGAGAACGCTGACTTCTGCGCCAGTATCGACGAGATAGCGAACTGCGGTTCTACGATCGGTGACGAAGAAAAGGCGAGTGCGTTGCCCAGCTACGTCCGTCGCCCCTACGTGCTGGTCCTCCCGTTTCCCTGCTGCTGTAGTTTGAAGGAACAGGGCGGGCGACATGACTTAGCTTGCTGGCCGAATCGTTCGTGGTACCAGCAGTAACCGTTTCTATTCGGTGATCGCGAAGGAGACTTCGAAAGTGAACGCGAACGGCTCCTAGAGCATCTACAGCGGTTATGTCCGGAGGCCGAAACGTCTGCGAATTGTCGAGTCAGTGTTGCCATCTGGGATTTAAGCGTGGCGATATCGTCGTCCGGTTTCGGCTGGACCTGCGAAACCTGGCCGTACGACTCCCAAATTCGGTCGGCTGTATCGGCCAGTTTGGATAAAGGTGCATCCTCCCTAGCACAGAGGATGTGTAGCATCTCGCGCGGAAGTCATTGCAACCACATTTTTCGAAGAAAAGAATCATCTATCGAAGTGGGTTTAGCGAGGCTCTGCATTTTTCGAAGCAGCTGAGACGGCTTAAGATCGCTAAGATCGGTTTCGTTCAGGAGTTTCGTAACTTGTTGTAGATCGGATAAGCCTGTTCTTTTCAGAACAGCTATCTTGACTGCATCGTAAGTCTTTTGGTCGTCAGGAAGATTTAGAATGTCATCAGTGTCATCGATGACATTTAGCGGAAGCGCGGAAACGACTAGGTAGAACTTGGTCTTTTCGGACCTAATACCACGCAAAGAAAATTGCGATTCGAGCTGACCAAACCAAGATTTAGGATTAGTCTCGCGAAAAGGTGCGATAGGAAGCGTAACTGTGCCGATCTGAACGTCAAAATCTAGGCGATCAGTTGCCATAGCGAGCAAAACAGCGAGCCAGCGAGATTAAACCGGAAAATGAAAAGTGAAAATAAGACGGGTTAGCGAAAAAATGTGGTCAAATCTGAAAAGAAAGGTTAGCGAAAACTCACCGGATAATGACCAAACGTCGGGGTCACCAATAAAGCGCGTAGCAGAATCGGTACGCTTTAGAACAAATACGCAGATATAAGGCCAACCTCCGGTGAGTGGAGAACACCAAAAGCAACGCTAGGAAAAATTTATTAAGGGGGCGAAAGGCTATCTAGTGCTAAAAATAAGGCACCGGAAGATAGCTAGCTAGGAAAAGGTGTGGTCGCGTGCGCGGAGAGCAAAGATGGCCGCGGAGCCGATGAGCGTCGCGCCGTTCGAAGGCGGATGCTATGTTGACTCAAAAAACGCGAGCAACGTTCAAACAGGCGAGCGGCTAATTTGCTATGTACATCGAGAAAATATAATTGTGATTTTGTAATATTTTACGCAGCATGCGGCAGCCAAACAGGGGAATCTCCAGGTCACTACATTATTTTGGATCCGAAAGAGGGTTTCCTTGATGCCATGGAGACGCTCAAATTGAGGTTCCGCCGCCCTCACTTGATTGCCAGAGCTTACATCGAAAGTCTAGTCAAAGGACCATTGATCAAGGCGAATGATAAGGAAGCGCTCCACAGATTAGCCGGGCAGAAGAAAACTTGCTTAAATACGCTGCAACAACTAAATTACGAGGCCGATCTGAACGCGACTGTGACGGTGTCGGCGGTGATTAGGCGACTGCCTTACTCACTTCAGCTCGATTGGTCAAAGAAAGCTACCAGTATCCTCCGCACTTGTAGAGGGCCCGCCTTTAAAGACCTGTACCAGTTTGTTTGTGACGTGGCTGAGACTGTTACTACTCAGGCAATGTACTCGAATGAAATCATTAGAAGGACTGAAGGACCCTGCACGGCAGAAAGACGTCAAAGCCTTGGCAATCGCATAACCACCTTGGCAACCGGTGGAACAGTGCCGCAGACTCAGAGACGCGCGCCCTCGTGTGTCGTGTGCACAGCGCACCATTACCTTGATCAGTGCCCTCGATTCCAAGCCTTTGATCATTCCGAACGCTTGCTGCTCGTTTCTGGAAAGTGTCTATGTGAATTGTGCCTCAAAGCTAACCACACGTCTGAGCTTTGCAGATCCCGAGTCACGTGCGGATTCAACGGTTGCCAGTTGAAACATCATCCTTTACTACACGAAGCCAAGACGAACCAACTAACTTCACCAAGAGCTGTGGTAAACGAAACGAATGTGTCGTGGGGTCGAATAGCTTTAGGGATTATTCCTATTCTGCTGCGTGGAAAAACCAAGTCACTGGTGACCAATGCTTTACTTGACCCAGGACCTGATTCTTCACTTGTCGATGAACAGCTGTTGCAAAGGCTTGACTTACCAGCCAGACCGTCAGTGGTACAAGTAGCTACGGTTAACGGTGATTCAACGATGTGCTCGCAAGTTGTACGCCTGGAGTTGCAACCGCTGGAAGGAGGTAAATCACTGCATGTGGATCATGCGTGGGCCGTCAAAAGGATGCCTAAGGTACAGAGGCTAATACCGGAGCCAGAACGCCTGCGCAGTTGGGAACACTTAAAGGACCTACCGTTTATCGATGGTTGTGATGAAGGGGTCGGAGTGCTTATTGGTATGAATGTCCCGGAAGCCCACTGGGTGCTTGAGCATCGGTATGGAAAACAGTCAGACCCCTTTGCCATACGCACACCGTTAGGTTGGATCCTGCTCGGTCCAGTTGGGGGGAAAGGCGTAACGAACATTTACACCAACTCAATCAGTGTAGAAGACTCTACTTCGAGCTCTCTTGAAAGGATGTATGAGTTGGAATTCACTGAGCCATGTAGCTCAAGACGCGGAATGTCTGTTGAGGATAAACGCGCATTAGAGCAGATGGAGTCATCTATCGTTAAATGTGGTTCACATTATCAACTCAATTAACCATGGAAAAGCGCATGCCCAAATTTGCCAAGCAACTATCCTGTCGCTTACCGAAGACTGATGTCATTGCGCAAAAGGCTCCTTGCCAACTCAGAGTTACATCAGATGTACACAGCTGCCGTTGAAGAGTACGCGTCGAGTGGATTTGTGGAAATGCTTGACCTAGGACCGCTTGGTGATAAAAAAAGTCGTTTAGTATATGCCACATCACACTGTGACGCACCCAACAAGCCCGGGAAAGTCCGTGTCGTTTTCGACCGTGCTCAGCACTCTCCCCTTGTGTCACACACTCTGCCACGAGGCGTCAAACACGCCAAATCTTCCAGAAAGCCAAATGAGCAGCCTATGAGTCATCCTCGTCGATTTAGCTTCGCTGGCTCGATACCGGATAAAACTTATGCACCCAACCTTCACGTGTGCCTTTAAAGCATCCATCGGTTACTCGCGCTTGTATGACGACAGAAGAAGTTTTACAGCAGTCATCGCCGAAATCTAAGGGGGTGTCCTTTGGTTCCGCTTTAAGGCCCGAACCGTTCCATGAAGGTTTACCACCTTCTACCCCATTAAAGAAAGGTGGTATCCATGTAACTATTTTGACGACTCCGAAGTTTGCGTCAAACACTAAACCTACCCAAGCTTCTGATTCCGAGTCTTATGTACTTCTTAATGCGCTCTCCGACGTCCGCTCATTCAGTTCACCCGTGGCTGCAGCAGGCACCCCCAGTAGAATATCGGCAGTTGTTTCTGTGCCTCCGACACCGGATTCAAATCTACTTGATTCATCTGTTGAATCCCCAACACCCTGTTCATCTCCAGTGCAGAAAGTCACTGGTCGTCATTCGGCCCCCCTTCTTGCAACAACTTCGGTGCATCCATCCAAGAAAAATTTCATGACTCGAAGTTCCTTCATGTCTAGGTCCGCAGACAACAGACGACTTACTCGTCTACAAGTACCAAACTCCCCACCTTCTACACCTGCATCTACCGTTCGCCGAATCAGTAGGACAGATGAGAAAATAGTCAGCATGGTTTCTAATACCTCTAGACGATCAAACACTACTGCCCGGACGCCGAGTTCCATAACCAAGAACAGCCATCTGGCCACAAGCGTTTCCTCTCAAAGGATACGTATGCATTCCCCTACACACAACTATCCATCCTCAGAAACCCCTCTATCGATAAACAAAGCAGAAAAGGAGTGCGCGATTACAGCCAACGTCATGATACCGCTCACAAATACACCGGAACTTCCTCAACGAACCGCTAGACTTTCTAAATCGCCCTCTGTTCCGAGTACGCGCCTCCCTGCTGTCCCATCTATGTTCGGTGCAGGTGATGTAGCTGTGAGTCCGCGACGAAGTGTTGGTCGTCCGAGGTCGCCGTCTACATCTCCAAGTAGATCTGTTTCGAATGAGGTTACTCCATCGAGCGTCCGGCGTGTGAAAGCGAAGAGTCCTCGTTTGACTGGTGTTCGTCGTCTGATGCGTACGCCTAAAGCTGTTCCGAGTCCACGCCTCTCTGGTGTCGCATCTATGTTGGATGCAGGTGATGTAGCTGTGAGTCCGCGACGAAGTGTTGGTCGTCCGAGGTCGTCATCTGTTCTTTCAAGTCAATCTGTTTCGAATGAGGGTACTCCATCGAGCGTCCGGCGTGTGAAAGCGAAGAGCCACCCCGATGAGTTCGGTGCTATATAAATAAATAAATAAATAAAATGTGTATTCTCGACTAAGCGAGGCACGCCTGCGCAGCGCTCAGCCAATTATTGACCTTAATAGCAGACAGGGCACTGAACCCATAGCAGGCACGAATTCCCCACAGGCTGACGAGACAATGGCGCCAAGTGCAGCAGCTGTCCAATGAATTTTCGAAAAGGTGGTTAATTTGTTATTTGCCGATTTTGCAGTTTCGTCAAAAGTGGCACACAAAGAGGCGCAGTTTACGGAGAGGTGGTCTTGTTCTAATCGCCGATGTACGCACGCCAAGAGGTCTGCGGCTAAAGGGCATAATAGAAGAAGCGAAGGCTGGGCGCGATGGACTGGTCCGGGAAGTTCTGATACGTACAAACAAAGGAACATTACGGAGAGACGTACGACAAGTGTGTCTATTAGAGGAGACTTTGAACGAAGAATTCAGCGAAGCAAAGGTGGTGAAGGAGTGTGAATTCTAAATTCTCGATTCTGAACTATACCACTGCACATTTACCAGTAGTTCAATTTCTTTATCTTTTTCCCATTAGAAGGTGTGGTACTCGAGTTTACCTGTTCATGCACAAATGTTCGGCTTTAACAAACTGATAAAACCCTGCAATTTTTCTGCATTTATTATCTTTTTTCTTTGCTTAATTGTTGTGAACTTACGGTTTGCGTCTCATCGGTTGTAATTTGTTTTACTGTGCCAATTTTACGGACTATTCGCCATTTGCGCAGACTTAACTGCTGACGTGGAATAATTGGGAGCTGGGCTCTAACCAAGGGCGGAATTTTGGTTACGGGCCGAGGTTAAATGGAACAGCCTGTATCAATTAGGCAATGGCGAGCGTTAACAAATAAGTAATGAGGTTTCAATAATAAAATGGAATGCACTCAGTATATTTATAGGGAGGTAAAGTTAAGTTAAGTAAATTTTGCACCGAGTTCGAGTAACCACTGACCGCTTATAAAAGGCCGTCGCAGTAGCCTGCTGAAATTTCTTCACATCCTATTCCATGTCCGCAAATGTACGCGAATATATAATTTCACCAAACGATTAAACGAAAGAAGATCGTGCACCATGATGGCAGCTTACAACGACGCGCCGCGGCTCATAACTGCACTTCGTTAGCTACTTGAACAACAACAGTGTTAAAATCTACAAACTTTAATATTACCACGTACCATAAATGCTCCTGAAACGCTTCAGTATACACCACACAACATCAATAAGCAACATAGTCCACATGTAGCCTGGCGTACCAAACCACCCTCACCAAACTATCAACAAAGCACTTTGGTTAGAATCCCGGTCCGGGAATAATTGCTGCCCGAATTAGCGAGTCGCATTACCTATTCGTGAGTTAATTGGATTCTTTTTTTGTTTATTACTGCTATTGTAGAACCACGGTTATTCAGTATACTCATTCCGCCCACTGCTCTGCATTTTAACTGCCCGGACCGTGCGTTAGTTAGGTGATACGATTAGCCTCATACTCTCTGCCGTAACAGTTACCCGTGTCCAGTTGGAAAGTAATGTGGCTATCTACATGCACACCTACAGGAAGTTATCGAAATGTCAACGAACTTGGATACAAAGGAGTAACGGTAGATTTCTCACATACGTAGTAACCGGAATGCTGCTTTACTTGTCGGATGGATGCATTAGCAGGAGCATCCGTAATCACACACTTCAGGGTAAGTATCACCAAAGAACCTTCTGGAGATATGCGGATTACTGGATGCATGCCATCCCTCAGCTCAACAATGCTTGGTCGTAGGAACCCACGTACATCTGCAGGTTTTGACAAGCCGAAATACAATCCGACAATGAAAACGGATGAAGGCGGATCCTTAAGTCTAGCCAAGACAGGTTATAATAATTTGCGTGAACTACGAAACAGGGTGAGTCCATATATTTGCAGCTGCAGCTGCAAATTCGACATGACAGTGGCCGCACTGGCTTGCAACACGCGACGTATTCCTGTACTCTGTCCAACGTGCAAGTAACCGCCACCCATAACAACGGTATCCACGTGGTGCACCGAGCAATGTGCGCGAATCGCACGACAATTCAGGGTGCAACGCACGAAGGCGCCGAAGCATCATGTTTATCGATCTAGCTGGTAAATATCTATCAATCGCGATACCGAGGTAGGTTGCATTAAGGCTTACCAACTGCGGCGTTGATATCACAGGTGGTAAACGAGCAGGCACTATTTTAAGCATGTTACACCTTGGGAACATTCGCCTGCCAATAATTGACTCCAAGGCTTGCGCCTGTAAATCATGTGAACCAGAAAGAATAATGTCCACAGAATCCGTTAATGGCTGTGTGCAGGTCCCAGTAACTTGTTCAAGGCTTCCGGAAGGCGTGGGGCACACAACCGGTCGGGACCTGATTGCGGAATTATCTGCAAACACGTTAACCAAAGGAACACATGTGCAGACCGAATGTAGCATTGTTTTGGATTACGCTATCGTTAGCATGTTTCATGAGTCGATAGATGTTAGACCGATAGCAACCAGTATAAATGCTTCGAGGTCGGCGAGGCATAACTACAAACTTTCTCTGCGATAGCGACGGCGCGATAATGTCCGATATATGATTTTCTGGTACCAACCAACAAACCTTCGGTGTGGGAATAAGCAAAGGTGTAACATTCATTGAATACCATTTTGTCTTATCAATTTTATAGCAAAACAGACTGTAAGTTTCCTTCACATTTAGTCACTATTTTGCGAGTAACCAAAAAGACTCCTAGAGGGGAAGCTTGACCGTCCACCAGTGCGGACAAGCTACGGCTCAGCTGATAGCGGCTGAAGAGAGATTCGAGAAAAAGGTTCCTAGAGCAATATGCAGTCCAGGAACACTAATTTTTTGACCTATTTCGCTTTCTCTTATTAGCTTAGGTCCAAAGAGTACTGTGTAGTGATAATAAACAGCTCAGCGTGCCTAAGGTGTAAGGACCAATTCATATCTTATCCCCTACGGTTAGTCTTCATCATTGGCTACTTTATTGCGACTACATTACGGCACTTCGAAAGTTGCAGTGCGGGATCCCACTAGTTACTAAGATTGGCGGGTATACACACACAACAAAAAGGCGGCCAACTCCTCACGGGCCCAGTACTGGCCTACTTTCCAATGGTTGTTATACTTGTTATACTTGCTTGTTATACTTGCTTCTGTTACCACACTACCAGTGTTATCCAGAATCATATTCACAGCAAAATGGCTCGGAAAAAGCTACTATCCTTCTGTACACATAGCTCTCCTATTGTTCATAACTTTCATAAATTACGGCAGGTAGTAGCCAATCACTTAGCCCAACCACTTGCCGGATTCTTTCAGAGTTGTCTAGACGGAAACATAGTTCCGTTAACATGCAAACGAGGTATTATAACCCCCATTCACAAGGGAAGAAGTCCCTCTGATCCTGCCAATAACCGTCAGGTAACACTGCTTCATGTGCTCTCCGAAGTCATGAAAGCGATCATTGCTGAGGTAATAATGGGCTACCTGGAAAGCGTCGGCGATCCAGTAGTAGGATGGATTGGTAACTTTCCCCGCGAACGACCGTTGGAGGTTAGAGTCCGAACATCTATGGCCGACCCTAATCGAGTGGAGTGCGACGATCTTGCGAGAGCCATCGCCTCAAAAATTTTACTTTTCGTTTATGACGGTAAACTTTGGCTGGCGACCAAGGGAATAGACGACCACAAGATCCTCCATGTGCGACCAAGATAGGGACTGGTATTGCCCGGTGAGGAAAGCATTACCATTCAATGTGGACAAGTGACGCGTCGTCCACATCCGCCATAGACACGCTTATCTCCACAAACTGCAGGCGTACGATCTGCAGCCAAGCCCACAGGAACGTGACCATGATGTGCTGGTGCAGGACGACCTCGGTTATTCTGGCAGTTGGAATCCGTTTCAAAAAGTGGTAATCAGCAAGTTGTTCGCTTACGGATGGTATTCGGAAGTTCAAATTCATTCCTCTTCTCTATGATGTTCAATGCCTACGTGCGTTCCCAGGTCGAATACGCAATCCAGGCTTTGCACCCTTGGCTAAAGCGGGATCTTGCAGAGCTCGAAGATCCCCATGGTCGAGAAAAATAAACTCTCAAGAGATTGCGCAACTTTCCATACCAGCAGTGAGTAAAGTCACTCGGAGTGTTCACAGTAGAGGCTACAGGTGGCTACGTGAAGACCTTATATTAGTCTACCAGATACTGTATGGCCCCACTCACGTACGCCGCCACCTACTGCACCTCAGCCCGAATACCAATCTCAGAGGCAATAGCCTGAAACTGAGGCAACAACACAGTCGGCTTTTCATTAATGCTGCACGAACTTCAGCTCATAAAGACTCAGTGATTCTGCCATAAGTAGCCATCAAACGTTTCATTGCCTACGCTGTTTAGTTACTCAACGACAGCCTGGACGTTAATAATTCTATCCGACCAAATGCAATCTTATCACCAGTTGCTAGTGGACCAATTTAGTCTTTAACACATTGCTGAAAGAGGATAAGTATAGTAACCGTAATGTGTTAGAACGATCATCTATGCTAGTGCAGTGTATGCCCATAATGTATGCCGGCGTTCTGCTTGCAGTACAGAAACCGCTTGATGCAGTTGGCGAGCAACCTAGCCAGTGTATCCCTCGTGATTTCGCGACATTCTTTCAGAATATTTGTTTTTAGTTGGTCCAATGTACATGACTTTGTTTTTACACTTGTTGTTGCAGATAGTCCCATGGAAGCAAATCCATGGGTTCAAATCTGGTGAGCAAGCCAGCCACTCCATTGGTCCGTCGCGTTAGATCCAATGGTGATCAAATTTGTCGGTGAGGCAAGCAC